AGTTTAAATAGAAAGAGTGTGTACCTTGTTAAGATATGATTTGAGTGTCTTTATCAAAGTTAATTCAATTGAGATATTAATGGAGAGAATTGTCTAAACAATTATTATGATCGATATTTTAAGATAAATGAAATGATTTGAGTTTGTTAATTTTAATAATGTTGATCAAGATATTACAAAAACAAATTTTGTGTTGTTTATAATGTTTTAGCATACAAGTAGTTTGATCAATTAATATAAAACATGGTAACAATTTTTTTGAGTCCGGCAAAACGTAAAGGGTCATTTATTTGATAGAGAAAGTGATAAATATATATATATATTTGTGAAAATTATAAAATTTCGTACAGTGGCCTCTTGTCAAAGGCCCACAAACTTGCATCACGCTCTCATTTTACTCTCTATTTTATTAAATGCGAGGTTGTGGAGATAGTTATATAATGCTCTTTAAAATAATTGGATGATCGATTTAATCCATACAAAATCATAGACCAACCCCTATAGTCCTATCGTTATCCCTTCTTAATTAATTGCTAGTACACGTGACGCTGATACTTTACCATTGGGATATAAATTAGCCTTTGATTTTTCAAATAATAATCCATTTTAAGATTTTAATGCATGAAGTTTCCATTAAGTGAAAACCTTTGGTAGCAGCAAGTAACCCACAACAAAAAAACAACCACTAACATCAATAAGTATATATAAGTATAGGTCAACTTTTGAGAGATATTTTACTCGAGCTATTATTTTCATTTTACTTTTTTAATTGAAAATCGTTTTTAAGAATTTATTTTCTTTTAATGTGGTGGCCAATGGAATGAGGAAAAACAACAAAAAAGAACTTGTTCAAAATTAAAAGCCTTTTAGAACATATGAAGCATCAATAATAATACACTTGCCACTATTATTTGGTTTACAAATTACATGTGTCAACTATATATATAATATCTTTATTTTACATTTGCATACACGTAACAACTTTTTTCAATTCTTGATATATATTTCTTTTGCTATTTGCAAAAGTAGTTGAATGTGTCAAATTTGCTTGACACCTTATGAATCCATGTTTCAGTGCTTGATTTGTTGCAGAGTTTGGACAGAAACGGAATGTTTGACATCTCCAATGTGGAGTTCATGTTCACCACTTGGGATTCTTCGAATCCCAAACTGGTCCACCACGGATAAGTGCTTGCACACATGAACACGAACCTGGACTCGTTGGTTGGAGCCCGCAGGAACATGGGCCTTGTGGAAGCCCACCAAGTGTTTAATGGCGGCCCATTTTCCCGGTGGTGGTTTCGAGAATACGAGAAGGGTGTGGGTCCCATCCATTGAGCCTTCGTTTTGGACGTCAACGTGGAACTCCATCTCCAATGCCTCGTCATCGCAATTGGCGTGACTCACCCTCACTGCTTTGCTTGAAAGGGTTGAGTTTGTCAAGGCTTGGAGCACTGAGACTTGTTTTGGAGCAAGGGCTAAGGTGTGCCTGAACCTTGAGTAGCTTAGCCCGTGTCCAAAAGGAAACACTACTGGGCCTTTGTAGAATCTGTAGGTTCTTCCTGGGTACCCTGTTGCTGGGTTTGCTCTCATGTCCATGTTTGTCATCGGCACTTTAGCCAAGTAACTCTCTGGGTACCATGTCATCGGTAACCTTCCTCCTACAATACAACCCCAATCCATAAATAACATTCTTCCTACTTCCATTTTCTACTATAATGGACTAATGGTGTGGTGTGGGACTAATTTACCTGGGTTACTTGTACCAAAGATCACATCAGCTATGGCAGTTCCACCAGCCTGCCCTGGATAACCAGCCCACAAGATGCCACTAATCTTTGGATCCTTTACGGCAAAGGAGACATCAACTGGGCCACCAGACATGATCACCAGGATAACTGGGCCCCTAGCGGCCCTGGCCACCCTACCCACAAGCTCTTGTTGAAAGCCTGGTAAGAGTAGCCCAACCCTGTCTCGTGTTTCCGCTTCTATGGACTGGTCAAGCCCCATTACTAACACAGTCGCATCAACCTCCCTAGCTACAGTTTCCGCAGCTCCAAATAGTTCGTTCCCCCTACAAGCCACATTCCTACACCCCACTTGATGTGCGGTCTTCACATACCTCGCTATCCCTTGCACAGGGGTCGTATAACCACATGCCAATCCTAAAACAAATTACAAATATTTTTTTTTTTTTAAATAAGAATTAAGAAATGTGATCTTTGATTTATAATGAGAAAAAAAAAAAAAAAAAGGGTTAAATTAGTGATCATTATTCATTAACTAACCAGCATAGTTCCCTATCATTGTAACAGTAGCGTCCGAATTGGGCCCAATAACTCCTACGAGACGGTGTCGCGTAGGGGATAGTGGTAGCGAGTTTCCTTTGTTTTGTAACAACACTATACTCTCTCTAGCTGCTTCAAGGGCCAGTTGTTGATGGGCCGGGGTACACACGTCTCTCGGGCCCAAGTTTCCGTATGGTTGGGCCGATGGTTCGCCGTCGAACATACCCAATCTCATTTGGACCGTAATAAGGTTGGCTAAGGCAAGGTTAAGATCGTTTTCCGAAATGAGTCCCTTCCTAATGGCAGCATCGGTGTGGATTGCCAGGAATGGGCCACAATCCAAGTCCAGGCCCGCTTTAATTGCTTCTGCGGCTGCCTCTTCTGGTGTTCTTGTGTAGTGTTGGTTGTCATAGAAAACTCCAACTGAATCACAGTCCGAAACAATGTACCTATTTTGCATAACAAGAAAGATGTCACAAATGACAAAATTGGTTAAAAACAAAAATAGTGATGGAAAAAAAAAGTATATTGGGCTTACCCATTGAGGCGCCATTGGCCACGGATGGTGTTGCGAAGGAGATCAGGATCAGCACACGTGGGCTTGCCATTCACCTGATTGTAGGAGCACATCACACTGGCCACTTGCCCTTCCAGCACGCATGCTTTAAATGGTACATCATAAGTGTCCTCCAAATCCTGCTTGCTCACCTGCACGTGCACCAATAGCCCAAACCATTTTAATTTGGGTCCATGGTTTTAATTTGGGCCCAGGTGGCCACAACCAAACTAGGTACATTTATTTTGGCTAGTTATAGGTAAACCATATTCCCACTTTTCCATGAAAGTCACGTCCACAGGGGATACCATAATGAATGGCAGGGAAAATAAAGGGGCTTATTATTCCTATTTCCTACGGTGCGCAAGTGCTGATTTGTTAGTTTGAATGGCATCGCTGTCACTTATCCTAACAACTTTGCAAGTGGCCTCAAGTCCCTGTCATCGACAACTTGCATAACTTCCACTTTAGTGAAACATGGTTTTGTTCTTCTCTTGCATCATACATAACAACTTATTTGAATGTAGGAAATGGTAAGGTACAAAATCCGAAGGTAGATCCACTATATATAGCCTTGCTTCCTCAGCATATAGATAGATAGCCATGTATTACATGGCTGTATATCCATGTGGAGTAAATGACTATTCAAGAACGCATGGACGCACATGAAAAATGCACTCATAGCTAGCTTAACCAACCAATTCACAATTATAATAACACTAAATAAGAAGAAAAAAAAAATCTTGTAGGCTATTTCTAAGAATAAAAAATAATAAGACAAAACTTACATGCACTTTCATGTATGTTTTTTTATATTTTAATTATCTTTTCTTAATCATAATTAAAATTTTACTAATATTTAATATTAATATTTATAATAAATATTATGGAAATAAAACCTCGATATACCTTAGCGTTGAAATGAAATCTGTCTACACCATTCCAGTTATCAAGATCATAAGCAGTGTAGTGTTTGCAGCAAGCAGCAACCTTAAGGCGGTTTCCGGCGCCGTCACCCTGGAGTCCTCGGACATAGCTGGCGGCGTACTTTGCCGCCAAAGTTGGGTCTTCTCCGGGAGTTTCTTGGCCGCGGCCCCACCGTGGGTCACGGAAAATGTTCACATTAGGACTCCAATACGTCAAACCAGCCTGTCCACCGTTGTACATTGCTCTTGCTTCATCAGACACCACCTGCATATACATGATTAATTAGGTAATCATTAAATCAATTAAATTAATTTTATTCAGATTTTTATCTTTTTAATTATTATTTCAACGTATATATATACACTACAACTAGCTAGCCGTGCATGACGGCGGCGAGTAACAATTATAAAGAAGAGAGACTGTGTAGTTCCTTCAATTATTTTTTTAAAATATGTTTACAAAGAGATTTTTGTTTGCTACCTTAATATGCATGTCTCCTAATTCTGGCTCTGTCACTGTGATTGTGTCTAATTGCCAGAATTATTCTGGTTTAATAGATTATTTTCTTATTCTGAGAAGAAAAGTCTTGTTATTGGTTCATATTCTCTATGTCATTTAGCTAAACTACCAACCGGAATAATATAAAGTTATTTTTGACACTAAAAGACAAACGAAACACCCCATTTTTGACATTTTCTGGAATCCAAATGGCACTACGTCTAACTAATATCTTTCATCGAATATCGAATGGTTTTTCTTTCCCAACATCACTTTATCTTAAGAGAAGGACTTTTTCACTACTCCACCAATAATATATAATCTAACATAATATATATATAAATTTAAAATTACAAAATTGTTTTGTAAGATGGTAATTGTGTCTCATTTATATTATAATTAAGATGAGACTAAGATGTTTTTATAATATAATATAAAATTATATTGCTATTGATTCGAAAAATTATGTTTTTTAATAATCTAACATAATATATATATATATATATATATATATATATATATATCGACATATATATCAACTTTGGCTAAATTAGCTAGACTATTTCTGGGGTCTGATTGTTACAACAAATGCAACTTAATTATGATGAGCCATAAAAGCATCCTACATATGCATGTATATATAGCGCCGGGACCAAGACGAAAAAGAAAAGAAAAAAGACGTAGTGGAATGGTCGACGCAAGGTTTTGCAAGGTGTTGGTGGGCAACATCAAACACCTATAGTGTTTGTTCAATTATTCATGCACCAAACCAATAATTAATGAAAGTAGAGAAGATGATTTTTCACTCTTCCTTAAAACAACTTCAAGCATGCAAAATTAAGATGATTCATTGATTTCTATATTTTACTAACCGTAATTAATTTTAATGTGAAAACCTTTTCCATATTGACACCCTTATTTAACAGAATTTGACCATTTAAGTATGAAAAGGATCTACTAATTACCACCAAAAGCGTAATTAATTATTATTCCGATCTTAATACGTATATAATTAAAATGACGTGAATATAGACTAAAATAACCACCGGAAACAAGGACAACCAAAACCTCCTTCTAATGACGCTGCTGTTGCTTTCGTAGTTAATGAGACAATGGCGTAATGGACTTGTTTTACCCTCTAGTAGCTGACAATTAAAGTTGTCATTTTTCAACATTATCATCATTTTCTAAACCATTAAAATGACTTGATTGTCAGGTTTCATATATATTATATTCCAAATGCATGTAAAGGCACATGGTAGTTGGGACACACACAATTCGTCAGCTACCATGTAAACAAGCAAAAACAAGTGAGTATCGAGAAGCCCAGTATCACCCAATTGTAACACAAATATCATCCCTTCATTCATTTTCATATATATGCAAAATCCCATTTGGATATATAAGAATAAAAATATAAATAAAAAAAAGTAATGAATAATTCACTTGTCACAGAAAAGTAACATATATGAAAGACAATATATGTATATGCAAAAGACATGCATTTACCCAATTGGCTAGATTCTGTATTATATTGTAAAGGCATGATGAATATTACTAATTATGCACATAAAGTTGAGTGGATAAATGGTTAATTTGATGATGAATGGGCGAAAAAGAGAGCTAAGGAATCTGCTTTAAATAATGTATGAGGATGAGCGAAGGAAGGGAAGGGTTAGCGATGGATGAAGCGAAAAAGTTGATGGAATAAAAAAGAGGAGAATTGGAAAGTGAATCTGACCCGTCCAATTTCGCGCCAGAGGGACTGATTGAAGGAAGCAGCGGTTGAGATGACCTGAGGGAACATGGTGGCGGCAGGGAAGGGCCCACCGAACCTGGTGCCGGGGCCCACATTGGAGACTCCGTGCAGAGCCTCGGACCACCATTCGTAGCCTTGGATGCCGAGCCTGGGCACGGCGATGGCGTTGTTCACCACCAGCCTAATCTTCTCCGCCAATGAGAGCCTCGCTATGAGGTCCTGCACCCTCACGTGGATCGGCACGTTCGTCCTGCAAAACTTTAACCCCCTCGTGACCCCGTTACGAGGGTCGCATGCAAAGGGCACCCTCCCTTCGCTCAAGGACACTGTCACACTAAGCAACACTACCACAATGGCCACCACTTGCCTCTTGTCGTTTCGACAACCCATGTTGAGGAAGGTATAATCGAATGAATGAGTGAGGACTCACGCTCCGTGCCACCTCCTATATATAGAGGGACTTGCGTCTTTCCTACACTCTACACTCAACCAATTCACCTCTCATCCTTGCTTTTCCACGTACTTCATTAATTCTATCCATCTTTCACACCCAAAATTCGTTAATTTCAACAACAATAGTTCCTAAAAAATCACAACCCAAACGTACACCACCTTTTATAACCACTTGGAACTAATCTTTAAGATATATTTTCTATATTTACCTTAGCGGGCGAGGGTGAGACTCGATCAGGGAAGAAAATAAAATGTTTTAATAAAATATTTTCAGATAAGATTTTTTTTTTTAATGAAATTTTCATTTAGGAAAGATATTAAGAAGGGGGGGTTATTTATGCTGGTTTTATTTCATAAGGGACAAAATTAACTATCATAGCCGAACAAAATGGTTGTATAGGAGAATAGGGGTATGAGATGATCCAGCAATGAGTAAAATAAATTTCAATATTCTAACGTAAAAACGACATACACAAGTAAATCCCGAACGTGAAAATACGCCGCCGATTTCCTGAATAATTACGAAGGGGGCACATACAGAAAGAAGCTTTCACGATTGGGTTTCCACGTCGATTATGTGTATGCATTTGGATATATTATATTATATATGAATAAAGCTTATAACGACTGAGAGCTAAACTTGAATAGCGATGAGAGAGTGAGTGAGTGTAACGCGCAGTTAGACTCAGTGGGTGGTGACTGGTGGTGGCTGGGTTGGTCCCATTGTGGCCTAGCTAGTATATGGTATTAGATGCTAAAATATATCGACTAAATATATATAAAGAAAGAGAAACCTACCCAAATATATATATATATATATATATATATATATATATATATGTGTGTAAAAATTTAATTAAGGGTCATGTAACTTTTTACAATGTTAACTAATCACAAAACATTATATATATAAACTTCTTAATTGTTTTTTTTTTAAATTAATAAATTTATCATACACAATTAAAAAAATCTTAACACGTAATATTTTATAACAAAAAATATAAAGAAATAAATAGAGAAAGTGTTGTGTGTGATGTTTTTAATCTTTTAGAGAAGTGCAAGTTATGGACATTCACGGCCGGACTAAAGAATCTCTCGCTTTCTTACTTGTACCATGCGCGAGCGCAGGTGTGGCTTATTTATAGCTAGCTTCCTCGTGTGCATATATTTACAACCTACCTACCTATATATTGGATGCTATTTTGACCGCCACGAGTTACAAACACTTTTTTTTTACTATATATTTCATATTTATATATATATATATATATATATATATTTATAATTTAGTCTGCGATTAGAAATTCATTTATCATTCAAATATCTTACAAGATATTTTTAATATTTACATACATAAATAACTATATTAGATTATTATTTGGTGTCATCTTTTACATATATCAAAAATATTTTATGAGATTACATAAATTATAAACAAATTTTTAACCATTAGGATGAAATTACAAAAAATAAAAATAAAGTAAAGACCTTGTAAAAAAACAATTTAGAAGAACTTTATTGAAAAATCATAAAATATTTTGAGACTAAAAATAATGTATTAAATCATTAAATGAAGATTAAGACTTGTATAATTTAAAAAAAAATCAATTAATAATAGAGAGCATTAGTGTTTTGTTAAAAAGAATATATTTCTATTATTTCTCTTTCGTCTATTAATCAAACCATAATTGTTTGACATAAATACATTGGAAAACTACGTAAGTCAAACTATTTGATGGTTTGTGAAAGTTCTCTCCACCAGTTACAATGACATGTGAAGAAGACTATTCAAAATCCTCAGCTGTTGGGTGTTTACCTATGATCCACGAAAAATAACGCTTTCACCCCCGTGATGTTACTGGAATTGACTAAAGCACCATAAAAAGAAGATCAAAACCCGTGACCCCATTTCAGAAAAATATGTGTTTTTGTCATGTTTATTTTATACTTAATTACTTCTGTTTCTCCATCTCATATGCATGTATTTACGAAGAATATATGCTAGACTTTTTTATGTATTTTTTTACTATATACATCAATGTTGGTTCAGCTACCTCTTAATATACAGATAAAAATACGCAATGACTGGACCTCATTTCAATTTGATTTTTTTCAACAACTCTCTCTGATTTTTCTTCATAGGTGGGTGAGAACTACAAGCATCGCAAGTCCTTACCCTAGGAAGAAAGAATGCAATTGAATATCATTATGTTGTGACCATATATATGCATGCATGTAAAATAATTTCTATGCCAACTTGTAAGGGGCCCACATGCTTTAAGAAGTGCATATTTATTAATTAGCATGTAGACATTTTGTGTATGTGATTGGATAAGGGGATAGACAAATAAAACATTAAAACATATCTTTTCAAACGCAATAAGAATAATTGAGATTGAACAAAGAATATGGCTTCTCTATAATAAGTTTTATTAATAAACGTTTCAAATTTAAAATTTGATGCCATTGACCAAAAAAATATTTGAAATTAGCTTCGAACATCATATCACATTTCTTTTTTATTTTTTGTCAATTAAGAAAAAAAATGAAGCAGGAGGAATGGGCTGTCTTGAGAGTACAGCATGTGAGGTTGGGAAGCAAGATTCTGAGTTCCACATGCCACCACTGTCTCAATACATTAACAAAATATTTAATCAAGCACGGAATTAATGCAATTCCTTGGGGTTATATGTTAATTTTTGGAAAAGATTGTGATATATTATCATCCAAGTTGAGCATTTTTATTTATTGAAACATAATATATATCAGATTGGATCGAAAATCAAATGAATTAATTAGCGAATCATTAATTCGTGCCTGAATGTGGAGAAACATGCATCATCTTCAGGAAAAAGTATCAGGAAAAAAAAAAACGATGAGTGTACGTAATGGTTTGGTCTCTTTGCTTTTGTAGTAAATATGGATAAACCAATCAAATGGTCATGAGCTATATATAGATTTTCCATGCTTTACGCCTCGTAAAACCAAAAAAAAAAAAAAAAAGCGTTTGCTTTGTTTAAACTTTAAAAAATAAATAGAGTATTTGTTTAAAAAATATTGTTTTCAGTTTATAAAATCATAGAATAATAATTTTTAAGATTTTCTTTCAACTATTTATCTAACTAATTAGCATTTTAATATCTGCAAATGCATTAGATGATTAATATAATTTAATTTGATTATTTTACTATAGTAATTGTATTATATTATTTAAATGAATCAAATTAACATATAATTGTAACGACCCGACTGGTCACTACGCCCGGCATAGATCCTTGGAAAATTTTTTTTGGAGGTGTATTTGTACATAATTATAATTATAGAAAGTTCTTTCTGGAATACTAAAATTACTATTCCGGAAATAACTTTCCGTCAGAATAATTCTATAAAGTACTTTCTGTAACACTAAAATTACTATTGCGGAAAGTTCTTTCCGGAATTATGGTAACAAATACACACACTGTTAATATTTCGGAAAGAATTTTTCGCAATAGTAATTCTAGTGTTACGGAAAGTATTTTCCATAATTATTTTGACGGAAAGTTATTATAATTATAGAAAGTTCTTTCTGGAATACTAAAATTACTATTCCGGAAATAACTTTCCGTCAGAATAATTCTATAAAGTACTTTCTGTAACACTAAAATTACTATTGCGGAAAGTTCTTTCCGGAATTATGGTAACAAATACACACACTGTTAATATTTCGGAAAGAATTTTTCGCAATAGTAATTCTAGTGTTACGGAAAGTATTTTCCATAATTATTTTGACGGAAAGTTATTTCTGGAATAGTAATTTTAGTATTCTGGAAAGTACTTTCCGTAATTATTCTGACGGAAAGTTCTTTTCAGAAGGCTCATGATATATACACCTCCTGTTTTTTTTTTATAAGTACACCTTCTTTATTTTTAAAAAAAAAATTATAAAATATTATATATATTTTTTAATTTTATACCTTTAACTTTCAATTTT